CAAGTGACTTTCTTCTTTCCCAAAGACTCTTCAAATACACCAAAAGAAACTTTCACCTTCCACCCGTGAAACCAACATCAAATACACTCACCAGATTTAGGTGAATGGGACACTTTTTAGGAATTTAAGGGATCCTAATACCCTCTTTGCTGTTCACTCTAAAGGGATCTTCAACGATACAAATAGGCTCCACCGCTCATCCAGGGAGAAAAAAACTTACATAGTGTAATATTGCCACTTAAAATCATTATTCAAACTAAGGATTATTACCACTCACATTTATTTCTCTTTCAAAAGGCATGTTTATTTAAAACCAGCATCTTCCAGACCAGTAATGAACACTGTTTTTGCCTCCTCAGGACTCTCACATCCCAGCTCAGGATACAGCAGCAGCTATACAGAGAAAGACTTTCCACAGATCCCAGAAAATGGCCGCTAGAACGCACCACTCGGCGTGCGTTCCACTCACCGGAAGTGACGTCAGACGTACGGGGTATAGACCGGAAATGTGTCAACGTGTTTCGCCCCTCCCTCAGGGCGTTTTCACTTGATATATATATATATATATATATTTCACGGACAAAAAAATCTTTTTGGTGTTTTCTGTGGGCTTTCATTATTAATTTTATTGATTTTTTGTAATATTAATTATTAATTTTATTATGATGCACTTTATGTATTGATGGTGCGTAGAGGTCTATGTTTTGGTAAGTACCTGAAAAAAACTAAAATTGTGCTTGTGTATATATGGACCTAACTGTATATTGGAATTTACTAGTAATGGCAGTGATCAGTGACTTAAAGTGGGACAGTGATAGTGTGGCGGGCAATTTGGCAGCAACAGACACTGGCTGGGAGGGACACTAGACATGTGCGGTTAGTTTTGCTCCGAATTAAAATTCGGACAAAACAGCTATTCGGAAAATTCTGATGTATCTGAATCTCTGAATTACAATAGTAACAGATTTAAATAAATCTGAAATAAAGAAATTAAATTTCCTCCAAAATTTGAAACAAATATGAAAATGAAAACTAATTTGAAAAATAAACATATTGGTGTCTTTTGCTGATTTCCTTCAAAAAATATGTGTATTAGTGTTAGTGTGTTGTCTTCAGAAATTTGAATTTTGAAAAGAATAGCATAAAACAGAATAGAGGAGAATATAAAAGAGTAGAATAGAAAATAAAAGAACAGAATAAAAGTTAAAGGAATAGAAAAGAATAGAGCAAACAAACAGAAGAGATTGGAATAGAATAGAAAAAATAGAATAATAGAGAATAGAAAATAAAGGAATAGAATAGAAAATAATAGAATAGAAAAGATTAGCACAGAACTTGAAAAAATAGAATAAATTAAAAAGAATATAGCTGTCTTCCGAAATTGGAATTTTGAAAAAAAATAGAATAGAAAATAAAAAAAGAATAAAATAAAATAGAATAGAAAGTAAAGATGTAGATTAGAAACGAATAGAAAAAATAGATTAGAATAAAATGAAATAGAAAAAATATAATATCTTCTGAAATTCAAATTTCGAATAGAAGAGAACCAGCTATTCTTCACAGTAAATTTGGATTTAATCAATATTTGCAATTCAAATTCAATTTGAATACTTTGAAACCATTGGAAAAATTGAAATCTGGTTAAAAACAAATAAATGAAATTAAATTAATTTCAATTCATCTAAATGAAATTAGTAACTTGACGATACAAATTGAAACAAATTTTTTTGTTCTGCATATGTCTAACAGAAACTGACACTGATGTTGCTGGTGACACTAATACAGTTATCAGATACAACACTGTCACAGTACTAATGACAGTGACTGGGAAGGGGTTAACATCAAAGGACAATCAAGGGGTTAACTGTGTGCCTAATAATGCGTAATGTTTGTTATATGTGCTGCTTTCACTAAGAGATATGGCTGTTTTTTTTCTCCCTGAACTCAGATTTGATTTCAGGGATAAGAAGCAACCCGATCGCTGTCTGTGTACAGAGTTCTGTGTGTTTGTAAACAGAATTCTATGTTGTGATTGGCTACAGGCGATCTTCAGGTATAGGGCCATAATCATTTGCTGAAACCTGAAGACAAACTTGTGCTGTAGTCAATCACAGCATGGGTAAGCGGAGGGAGGGCACGCGCCCCCTGTAACCCTAAAGAAAGGCCATATTGTAGCCTGTCCTGGCTGTGCTACAGTAAATGTACTGTTGGTGGGGAGCAAGCGGTTAAACATCAAAAACGCATCAAGAACTGATCAGTGTAAAATGGCCCTAATTGGGGTAAAGCAGAACTAAGGTTCTGCTGTGACAAACCGCGAGCAGGCAGGATTTTATTGCAGAGGAACATATAATGTCTCTACTGCAAAAGAATACACCTACCTGCCTGCTCGCTGTCTTTTCCGGTGATATAAGTGACATCATGGGAGTGACATCATCCCACACGAGCCAAAGAAGACGGTAGAAGACCAGGCGCCCAGAAGATGCTGGTGCTGGATGGGGACTTTTGGAGGAAAGGTACATTTTAATCCCTTCAGTTCTGCTTTGGTGACGGTTCACACCAGATATAGTGCAGTGCATTTTTTGCATCAAAAATGCATGGATAGGTTATATGGGTTCCAGTGGCACAGTTCACACCAATGCAGTCAGTTCCAGTGTATTCCGGTGCAGAAAAAAAGTAGAGCATGCTGCATCCTTTTATCCACAGAACTGTAGAGGAACGCAGTAAAATGCATGAAAAATGCACCAGAATGCACATGTCCCTATTTAAGATAAAGAAATAAAGAGGGAAAAAACCGCACAGGAACGCATCAAAACCGCACATGCAGAAATACACTGCTCAAAAACAATAAAGGAACGCTTTGAAAACACATCAGATCTCAATGGGGAAAAATCTCCTGCTGGATATCTATACTGATATGGAAAGGGTAATGTGTCAGGAACATAAGGATGCCCCATCATTTGATGAAAATTATCAACCTACAGAGGACTGAATTCAAAGACACCCCAAAAATCAAAGTGAAATAATGAGGCTAGTCCATTTTGCTGAAATTTCATTTCAGCAACTCAGAATGGTCCTCAGTAGTTTGTATGGCCCCCACGTGCTTGTATGCATGCCTGACAACGTCGGGGCATGCTCCTAATGAGACAATGGATGGTGTCCTGGGGTATTTCCTCCCAGATCTGAACCAGGGCATCACTGAGAGCTCCTGGACAGTCTGAGGTGCAACCTGGTGGCATCGGATGGACTGAAACATGATATCCCAGAGGTGTTCTATTGAATTTAGGTCAGGAAAGTGTGGGGGCCATTCAATGGTATTAATTCCTTCATCCTCTAGGAACTGCCTGCATACTCTCACCACATGAGGCCGGGCATTATCATGCACCTGGAGGAACCCAGGACCCACTGCACCGGCATAGGGTCTGACAATGGGTCCAAGGATTTCATCCCAATACCTAATGGCAGTCAGGGTGCTATTGTCTAGCCTGTAGAGGTCTGTGCGTCCCTCCATGGATATGCCTCCACAATCACTGATCCACCACCAAAAACGGTCATGCTGAATGATGTTCCAGGCAGCATAACATTCTCCATGGCTTCTCCAGACCCTTTCATGTCTGTAACATGTGCTCAGGGTGAACCTGCTCTAATCTGTGAAACGTACAGGGCACCAGTGGAGGACCTGCCAATTCTGGTATTCAATGGCCAATGCCAATCAAGCTCTATGGTGCAGGGCAGTGAGCACAGGGCCCACTAGAGGACGTCGGGCCCTCAAGTCACCCTCATGAAGTCTGTTTCTGATTCTTAGGTCAGAGACATTCACACCAGTGGCCTGCTGGAGGTCATTTTGTAGGGCTCTGGCAGTGCTCATCTTGTTCTTTCTAGAACAAAGGAGAAGATACCGGTCCTGTTGATGGGTTAAGGACCTTCTACGGCCCTGTCCAGCTCTCCTAGATTAATAACTGCCTGTCTCCTGGAATCTCCTCCATGCTCGAGACTTTGTTGGGAGACACAGCAAACCTTCTGGCAATGGCAGATATTGATGTGCCATCCTGGAGGAGTTGGACTGCCTGTGCAACCTCTGTAGGGTCCAGGTATCGCCTCATACTACCAGTAGTAACACTGACCCTAGACAAGTACAAAACTAGTGAAAAAACAGAAAAGATGAGTAGGGAAAAAATGTCAGTGACCTCTACCTGTAAAACCATTCCTGTTTTGGGGGTCGTCTCATTGTTGCCCATCTAGTGCACCTGTTGTTAATTTCATTAACACCAAAGCAGCTGAAACTGATTAACAACCCCCTCTGCTACTTAACTGACCAGATCAATATCCCAGGAGTCTCATTGACTTGATGGTTTACTCTGATTAAAGTGTTCCTTCCATTTGATCAGTGTATATTTGGACTGTGTTTCTGTGGTGTGGAGCGGCCCTAAGCTGGAATTACACTTTTATCAGTGGACATGTTGTAATGTGATGTGCTGCATAAAAATGCATTGTGGCCTACACACCCTGGTGCACACCAATGCAGCATGCTGAGGTGACATGAAGAAGTAGGAAATGAGGCCCATGGCACGTTGCTGGACCTTTACTGTCCAGTACATGTGACTGCATAGAAGTCGGGCACACTGGTGTGGAACCTCCATCTTGTACGATCAGGTGCTGCTGAGGGCTCTCGGGAAACAAAGAACCTCCTCCCCTCCCCCGTCAACACTTATTTCCATCCTATTGTACCCCTCCGTGTTCGTCCCTTTCCGCTGACAATAAAGTTGTGTGAAGGGCGGTTCGGTGGGCCGAGACTGTGCTCTCGCGAGACATCCTTTGGATTACGCCCCCCGGTGAAGAAGCGGCGCTGCGGCCTTGTGAACTCTTTCCTCGCGGACGGCGGCGGTGAGCGGAAGGCCTATCACAGCGGAATCATGGCAGACATCGACCAGCAGGACTCCCAGGACGCCCTCAACAATGGCAGCGACAACAACAGCGAGTGCGATGACCAGTGCGACGCCAGCATGGCGGAGGAAAGCCATTCCAACGGCATGAAGAAGTAGGTGTGAGGGGAGCGAGGGAGGGAAATGGCGGACTGAGGAGGGGGCTGTGTGAGCGGGCTTTCCTAATGCCGGGGATGTGGGGGCGGTGAGCGGGAGAGCCCGGGGACGGCCGCCATCCCTCTCCCGTCTACAGGCCGCGCTGGGCGCCATTGTCTGCACACAGCCCGGGACTCCCTACCGCCCGGAATACAGGCCTCATCGCACATCACCCCTCCCCCACGGGTATGCAGCGCACCACACTGATTGCAGTCTGATTGTCCAATGTGCTACCATACACCGAGCAATCTGTACAATCTGCTACTACACACTGCCCTCTATACACCGAGCAATCTGTACAATCTGCTACTACACACTGCCCTCTATACACCGAGCAATCTGTACAATGTGATCCTACACACTGCCCTCTATACACCGAGCGATCTGTACAATGTGATCCTACATTCTGCCCTCTATACACCGAGCGATCTGTACAATCTGCCACTACATACTGCCCTCTATACACCGAGCGATCTGTACAATCTGCCACTACATACTGCGCTCTATACACCGAGCGATCTGTACAATCTGCTACACATACATACAATGCCCTCTATGCCCTCTATACACCGAGCAATCTGTACAATCTGCTACTACATACTGCGCTCTATACACCGAGCGATCTGTATAATCTGCTACTACATACTGCGCTCTATACACCGAGCGATCTGTACAATCTGCCACTACATACTGCGCTCTATACACCGAGCGATCTGTATAATCTGCTACTACATACTGCGCTCTATACACCGAGCGATCTGTATAATCTGCTACTACATACTGCACTCTGATCCTGCTTCTATACACTGGGCAAATCTGTACAATCTGCTGCTATACACTGGCCAATCTGATTGTCCGATGTGCCGCAATACACCGGCAATCCTATTGCCCAATCTGCTACTACATACTGCAATCTGCTGCAATACACCGGGCAATCTGTACAATCTGCTACCAAATGGTAACCGTGATCATTGTGGCTCCCTGCCAGGACAACACAATCGCTCTGCAGGATGGACTCCCCATCAGTACTGACTGTGTTGATGTGTGGAACTGAGCAACCATGTTTGCAGGAAAGAACATTGCTCAATGTATGGCCTGCCTTGGGGTCTACCTGATGGATAGGGGTGGGGAGGGGGGGGGGAGGGGGGGAGGAGGATTTAATGCAGAACTTCCCTTATTAGGGTGCAGTTCTATTCTAACGCAGAACTCCCCTCGGCCCAGCCATGTGATGTCCTGGAGATCCCCATCGGCCGCTGACCTCTTCTAGGGCAGGGATGTCAAACTCGGGTCACACCGGCATTATGTTTGCCTTCAAAGGGTCTGCTGTATCCTTTAAGACTATTTCCAGAGCACCCCCCCCCCCCGTCACGTCAGATGTCAAGAACCCTCCCTAACATTACAGTGCAGCTGCTGGGGGTGGGGGCTGGGAAGCAGTGCAGGGTCTGGAGGAGGGCTGGAGTATGCTGAATGTTGGGACAAGAAGGTTCTGTGGCTGCATGGAGACGTGCAGGATCTGGAGGAGGAGTTCTGTCCTCCTCTCTCCTGCCAACTGCTGAGAGAAGGTGGGGGTGGAGATGAGGGACATGCAGGAGAGCTATGAGGGCCACATGGACTGGCCTGGCGGGCCGGGTTTGACTCGTGTGCTCTAGAATATTGAGCACCGGCTGCTTTCATTGGCTGAGCAGATATGTCATTCCTGCGCATGTGTGGAAGGGAGTGCAGTCAGCTTCGGAATTGCTGAATTTCTGCAGTGAGTCGCTGAAGGGTAGAAGGGCAGGTAGGTGATTTTTGCATGAAAAGCCTTGCCTGTTCGCCCATTTGTGTTTTGTATGTAAAGTCCCACTTTAACCTCCCTGGCGGTATTCCCGAGTGTAGCTCGGGGTAAAGTTTCAGCACCACAAGCGGTAACCCCGAGCTACACTCAGGCTTGCCATGCGGCGTTGCTCCAGGATCTCTTCTTCTCTTACCTTGCCCTGCGCTCCTGCGATGTCCCCCCTGTAATGTCCTCCGGCATCTGTCATCTGGGTTCCGTCCCCTGTGAGCGTCGGGACGTACGGGGGATGGAACGGCGGGAAATTTGAAAATGACAAAAAGTGACATTCACTAAATACACTAAAATCAAATAGTAAAACATTACTGTATCAAAGCATTTCACATACATTTTGTCCCGACTGCTTGGTCCTGCGCCCTGCCTGCGTTTTTTACTGTTCTTTCTGCCTGGAAACTGAGAAATGTCCATGCGTCCAAAAAGTGTCCCTTTAGGTCAAAAGCGGTTTTAGACCAGCTAGAGAACAGCAATAGTAAATCAGAACCACTTGCAGAATTGAGTGATAATGATTCGTGGGGGAAATTCGTCTTCAGACACTGGAAACGATATTGCGACTTTGCTCAGTGATGTGCAAACTTGGCGCTATATTTCAAATTTCAGTGTTTTTGGTTTGAATTATATTATTTAATTAAATTATTATATTATTTTTGGTGATTATTTGTTAAATTATAATTTATGATTTCGTGTTTCAAATTTTATTATACCGGGGATGTTTACTAGACTCTTATTCAGACAGATTTCAGTGAGTTATTCCTAAGAATTACAGGCCTACAATAAAAAAATACGTATTTCCATGCAAAAAAAATGTACCGCTTTGAGCACAGAAATATGGACATAATCAGACCGCTAGGGAGGTTAAGGCTTACACAGTACAGTCTGTTAGATCTGCCAAGTATGAAGTGCAAGTAGGCTCTCCTATGACACAGTTGTAGATCTGATTAAGACCACACTTGACTTTTTTTTTTTTGTGTTCAACGAAGTTCAGTTAGATCAAAACAGATGAATCCACAAATAATAGAATAGCCATAGAAGGTCATACAGGTGATGCCAGGAAGAATTGGTGAGCTGTAACCAATATTACATTTTTTGGTTTAATACGGCTCTAAATTCATGTGAAGAAATTCTTCTAGTGCACATTCTGTGTGGATCTTGACGTTTGTCAAGTGCTGCCTGAAGCTTTCACAATGCCTCGTTAAACAAGTTCTTCTTCAAAAGAAGAAAAAAAAACATTTGTTAAAGGATAACGCAGCAATGCAGCTTGCCACTCTTTAGATGGTGGTGGTTGTGTTGGTGTATGTGTGTGTCGTTTTTTTTTTTTTGCAAGTACAGTGTTCCCTCACCACTTCGCGCTTCATGTTTTGCGGCTTCAGTGCTTCGCGGGTCAGCAGCCACATTGTGGAAAGGAGCGTTGATGCGCGAGAGAGAAGGATCCCTGCATGTCAACCAAAGAGATGAGTTGACTCAGAGTACTGTACATACCACGGGCTTTCATAAAGGCGCGTGATTGGTTTCCGATGTGACATCGACCAATAAGTATGGATTTACTGTATCCCTGTGAGTTGATTGTCTGCGCATCATTGCAGCCTCACAGTGTTGTGTTGGCGATAACTTTTTTTATTAATTAAGCCCTTATAATGCCGCCTAAGCGCTGTGTCCCTGCGAAAGCTTCCTCCGGGGCGCCCAAGAGGAAGAAGATGATGACCATCAGCGAAAAAGTGAAACTTTTAGATATGATCAAAGAGGGCAGAAGTTATGCATCTGTGGCACGCCATTACGGGGTGAATGAATCTACAGTGCGGTACATCAAGAAAGCGGAAGCAAACAGCCGCAAAATTGCTTCAATAACCTTCAACAAAGAAGCAAAACGTGTGATAACTCCGCGTAATAACAGAATTGTGCAAATGGAAGGTGCACTGGCATTGTGGATTGCTGATTGCAGGAAAAAGACAGTGAGTGTGGACACTAATATGATCAGGACAAAGGCCAAAGCTCTCTACGACCAAATCTTGCCCGATGACGACAATGAAGAGGCTGAAGAAGGTGCTGACAAACCTCAAGCCAGTACTAGCGCTGCCAGGAGTGATTCGCCTACTCGCGGACGAGGCTTTTCAGCCAGCAAAGGCTGGTTCGAAAAATTTCAAAAAAGATACGGCCTCAGAAATGTGCTTCTGTATGGTGAGGCTTCCTCTGCTGACAACGATGCTGCTTGTCGTTACGTGGAGGAAAAGTTTCCTAACCTCATTAGTGAGGGAGGCTACCTTCCTGAACAAGTTTTTAACATGGATGAAACAGGCCTTTTTTGGAAGAGAATGCCTTCACGTACATTCCTCTTCAAGGACGAAGTGAAGAGGCCAGGCTTCAAGGCTCACAAAGACCGTGTGACTGTCATCATGACTGGCAATGCTGCAGGTTTTATGCTTAAGCCAGGCCTTATTTATAAAGCCAAAAAACCACGGGCATTAAAAAACAAAAATATGGCCCTGTTGCCTATGTTCTGGATGCATAACTCCAAGGCCTGGATAACGAAAGCTCTGACCCTTGAATGGTTCCTCCATTGCTTCATTCCCCAGGTGAAGCTGTATCTGGCTGAAAAGGGCCTCCCCTTTAAGGTCCTTCTCCTGATGGACTGTGCAGGAGGCCATGCAACGGACCTGCAATATGACGGTGTGCAGATAGTTTCTGCCCCCGAACACTACATCTCTAATTCAGCCGATGGATCAAGGTGTCATTCGTGCCTTTAAGGCACTCTACACTCGATCCACGATGGAGAGCCTCATCTCGGCAGTTGACGATGCCAGTGATGAATTCACCTTGAAAGCATACTGGCACAGTTACGACATTGCCTCATGTTTGTCTAATATTCAGCAAGCATTAAAGGACATGAAGAGTGAGACCATAAAATCTAGCTGGAAGAAATTATGGTCGAACGTGGTGCACGACTATCCAGGCTTCACTCCTGAAGTTCATCACTCAGCGGTGGAGAAGGCGGTGAGGCTGGCTCACATCATAAGGGATGAAGGATTTGTCGACATGACAGAAGACATCAGCGCCCTTATCGATTGCCACTCGGACCCACTGAGCGATGAAGACCTCCTTGAGATAACAAAGTCTGCAAGTGAGGAAGAAAACGAAGAGGAAGACGAAGAAGAAACTGAAAAGCGTGGCCTTACCCTGGAGAATCTGCAACAGTTGTGCAACATGGCAAGAGCGATGCAAGAATTTGCACAAGACATTGACGACAATATGGTTCGAGCTGTCGAGTTCAGCAATCGCGTTGATGGGGTTATGTCCTTGTACAGGGGAATTTTGAAGGAAAAGAAAAAAACAGACAACTACCCATCACCATGTTTCTCTCCAAAGTAAAGCCCCCAGCTCTACCGTCAGCGCCTCCAGCAGAAGAGTCTCCGAGTCAAGTGAGAGCCTCTCCTCCGCCACCAACACAAGACTCTTCGCCTCTCTCAGAAAGCAATGTTGATTGTTTATTACTGTATAAGGTTTTGTAATTAACCCTATTGTAATTAGCACTGACACGTTTAAGTAAATACGTATACTGTACAGTACTGTTGTAATTTTTGTCTTAAATGAGTAAAGTATGACTACTGTTTACATATTTAAAACATTCTTGTACAGTACCCGCATACACAAAAATTCCTAGGGGCAAATACTACTTCGCGGTTTTTCAGCTTTCGCGGAAGGTTCTGGTCCCCATTAACCGCGAAAAACGAGGGATCACTGTACAGAGAAATATTTGGTTATCCTGCCAGAAATCCAGTGATGTCTACTCTGCGTGGAACTAATATCTTAATGTTATTATGTTGTCATCTGTGAACTACACAACCCCCCTACCCCTATGTAATGGACATCAGAAGAGGGTGACATTCAAATCAGAGGAGCAGCTTAGGGTGACAACACTGCTTCTCCTTAGATGCAGAATAGTGAGTGTTGTCACTGTAAGACAGGCGTTCGAAAGAAGAGCCACCACTTCGAAGGACTGGTCAACTGAAAATACTGTATTTTAGTGTGTTGGTTTTAATAAGTTTAACCATCAGCATGCAAGTCTTTATGAATGTATACAAGGCCTCCTCTGATTCCCTCCTACTCGGCCATTGTATTCGTTCATAGAATACAGAGCTCCCTGTGAATGGTTGAGCAGTGCACCGCTTGATTCTATTTATTTTGTAATGAAATGAGAAGTTCTCAGTCTGCTGTTAATACAGTGCACACAGCGGGCACCTCTAGTGGTGAAGGTAATGGGTCATTTGGACAAGCATGGCCCTAACTGTTTAAACTTCATTAAAGCTGGACATGATCTTTAAAAATGATCCCACAATCATTGGTTGTCTGTAGCCTTGTTGCTAGGAATTTTAACTACAGTAATACCTCGGTTTACGAATGCCTCGGTTAATGTAATTTTTGGTTTATTAATGAAAATCCATTGAAATAAATTTTTTTTTCAAAGTACGAAGTGTGTCGGTGCTGATTTTTAAATGCAATTGCCGTTGTGTTTTTTTTTTTTTTTTTTTCTTCACTATAGCTCACATTAGCTGTCACTTTCCCTGGAGTTACAGGAAACTTTGTATCTTTTAAGAAACTGAAAGGAAAAATTTGTTTCTCTTAACTTGGGGAAAGAAACTGTCTTTTAGCTGGAGGGGGAAAGTGATAGCTGAATTTCTGAACTACTGTATAGTGAAGAAAAAAAAAGGCAGTAATTACATTTAAAAGCTGGCACCTGACAGCTGAGTGTAAAAGAATTGCCGGCAATTAAAAATAATTATAAAAAAAAAAACGGCGTGGGGTCCCCCCTTCCATCCAAACCAAGCCCTTTGGGTCTGGTGTGGATTTTAAGGGGAACTCCCACGCCAAAATTGAAAGAAAAAAATGGCGTGTGGGTCCCCTTCCAAAATCCATACCAGATCCTTATCAGAGTCCGGCGGACATCGTGATTGACATTGGATTTACTGCGGGGCACATTCTTTTAGATCCTCCTTTTATTAAAGGACTTGTCAAAGACCATGTCCTGTCAATAATAATAATAATATTATTATTTTTTTTTACAATACTTTGTTTTTTTGTGGATGGGGTACACGGTACCCCATCCTCATTCACAAAGTTGGGGGAGCTGGTTCTGAGGGCCCCGTTGTTAAAGGGGGCTTCCAGATTCCGATAAGCCCCCTGCCCACAACCTACGGCCAGCGTTGTGGGGAAGAGGCCCTTGTCCCCATCAACATGGGGACAAGGTGCTTTGGGGGGGATAGCCCCTCTGCCCCAAAGCACCCCCCCATTGTTGAGTGCATGTGACCTGGTATGGTTTGGGGGGGGGGGGGCGTTCGCTTGTCCCCCTCCCCTTTCCTGACCTGCCTGCAGCTCGGATAAGGGTCTGGCTGTCAGTGGGGAACCCTGCTGACAGCTGAAACGTTAACACATGGTTGTCACTACTAAAATACCGCATGAGTTAATAAAATAACTTTAGTAGCGTTTTTACTGTTGTTCTGACTTTCGGAACGGATTAATTGGTTTTCAATGCATTCCTATGGGAAACAGTGTTTCGGTGTACAAATTTTTCGCTATACGCAATGTCCTGCAATATGAATTAAATTCGTAAACCGAGATATTAACTGTATTTATTGCAGATCCCTGCTTGTTGCCACTTTTATTAAAATGCACACATTTGACTTCATGAATTGGGGGGGGGAGTTCTTCCTGATATAGTCACACCATGTGGGGTCACAGGAAATCTGAAGTTGTCTTTACCAGGTGAACAACCTGACCAATGGTATTTACTGCCCGGGCAGTTCAGGCTTTTGTGAAGTCAAAGGCTGTTACCTGTGTTCATCCTCCACAAAGTTATTTGATCTTCCTTCCCGGAGGAAATGGCAATGAATGCAGTGAAGGGGGAGGGGGGCTTCTGACCTCACGTACGGAAAAGACAAACAATACAAAACCACATGAATGCAGTATTGGAAAACTGCTGGGAATAGTAGTGAGCCAATCGCATGAGCTGGAAATGACGTTTCTGGTGGAGTCCTGTATACAACTGAATTTTAAAATGCAAATGTTATTTACAATAAAGTATTTAATGGATAGCATAACATCTGTCTTATTCCATTTTTTTTCCCACAAAGGGATGTTGGCCTAAAGTAGATCTCGATCTAAAAAAGAAAAAAACTTGGGCTCCTTTGCTCCCTGGACATCCTGACCAGGTCTGCCTGTCCAGTTTTTCAGTTGTTCATGGAGCCCTATGGACAGGCTTTTGTAAACAGACGTCCATTTATGCCCACCTACTGCCAGGTCCAGAGAAAAGGCAAAGACTGCATCCTTTTCTGGTTTTGCAGACTGGATTGGAGGTAGCATAGTGGAGTCTGTTTACACCCAGGTGTCCATAAAGCCGATGATTCTACCCAGCAGAAAATGAATGGGAACCTGTGAACTGATATCGATCCTGTTCAGGTCACAGATGCCCCTGTTGGTTGCAGTACACTTCACTCTCTGTGAGATATGCCTAAATTATAAAAAAAAAAAAACTAAGCTGTTTCCAGTGGATTAGTATTCTTGAACATAGATACATTTCACCTCTGTCCTAGAGCCTGCAGCATCTTCATTCCTGAATGCCAGTTAAATCTTTTAGCTTCTAAATGACACTGAAAAGCAAAAGATTAGTGAATGTTTGCCTTGTGAATAATCTGCTGTCTTTAGAAAGTGTAGTATCTTGGGGGGGGGGGTCACCTCCACATTCACTGTTATACTAGATGGATTTGTTATGAAATCACTGAACTGTAATTTTGAGGATTTTGTAACAAACAACTTAATTTTGTCGAAAGAGACATGGGGGGGTCAGTTCACTAAGATAAATGCCGCAAGATTTTGAGTTAAAATAACTTGTGCAATATTTATCTCAAAATGAGCTAATTCACAAAACAATGCAATAATAATGTCTTGCAATATTTGGTGCTTAAATTGTTTGTGGTTTTGGCATTGGTTCGCTCTTTAAGTGCCTGTTCATATATATACAGTTTGGATGCAGTTCGTACCGCATCCAATCCGCGTGACATGTGAAATAACATTGCTACCTATGGTGCCTGTTCACATATACTATATTGGCAAAAGTATTGGGACGCCCCTCCAAATCATTGGATTCTGGTGTTCCAATCACCTCCATGGCCACAGGTGTATAAAATCAAGCACCTAGGCATGAAGACTGCTTCTACAAACATTTGTGAAATGGGTCGCTCTCAGGAGCTCAGTGACTCCAAGCGTGGTCCCGTGATAGGTTGCTACCTGTGCAATAAGTCCATCCATGACATTTCCTTGCTACTAAATATTCCACGGTCAACTGTTAGTGGTGTTATAACAGCAACTCACCCACCAAGTTGTTGGCTACGTAAAATGACAGAGCGAGCTCAGGGCATGCTGAAGCGCACAGTGTGCAGAAGTCACCAACTGTCTGCAGAGTCAATAGCTAAAGACCTCCAAACTTCATGTGGCCTTCAGATTAGCACAACAGTGCGTAGAGAGCTTCATGGAATAGGTTTCCATGGCCGAGCAGCTGCATCCAAGCCTTGCATCACCAAGTGCAATGCAAAGTGTCGGATGCCGTGGTGTAAAGCACGCCGCTACTGGACTCTAGAGAAGTGGAGACGTGTTCTCTGGAGTGATGAATCACGCTTCTGTGTCTGGCAATCCGATGGATGTATCTGGGTTTGGCAGTTGCCAGGAGAATGGTACTTGCCTAACTGCATTGTGCCAAGTGTAAAGTTTAGTGCAGGGGGGATTATGGTGAGGGGTGGTTTTTCAGGGGTTGGGCTTGGCCCCTTAGTTCCAGTGGAGGGAACTCTTCACTTGTCGGCATACCAAGTAGGGATGCACTGAAATTTTGGTGGCCGAAAACACCCTTTTTTTTTTTTTTTTTTTTTTTGATCCAATGCTTTACATTGCACAGGAGAGATATGGGGTTAGTGGCCTCCATAAAGAGGACCTGTCACTAAGTACATCACAAGGGATTCATGCCCCCGTCCCCCTGTGCTTGCACATAGTGGTGAACGCATACGTAGTCCATGCACAAGCGTACGCAATTTTAAAGCGTGCCATGTTTGGTATCTATTTACTCGCTGTAACATCCTCTTTCATATTTTCCAATAAAATTGGGATAGGTTTTTTTTTTTTTTTAATCAATGTATTTTTTTCCAAAAAATATATATTCATTTTTAAAAACTGCATGTTTCGGTTTTCAGCCAAGTGCATTTTGAATTTGCGGTTTTGGCACCACAATTTCCATTTCGGTGCACCACTAATACCAAGACATTTTGGACAATTTCATGCTCTCAACTTTGTGGTAACAGTTTGGGGATGGCCTCTTCCTGTTCCAACATGACTTCGCACCAGTACACAAAGCAAGGTCCATAAAGACATGGATGAGCGAGTTTGGAGTATAGAAACTTGACTGACCTGCACAGAATCCTGACCGTAGCCCCACAGAACACCTTTGGGATGAATTAGAGCGGAGACTGTGAGCCAAGCCTTCTCATCCAACATCAGTGCCTGACCTCACAAATGTGCTTCTGGAAGAATGGTGAAACCTTCCCATAGACACACTCCTAAACCTTGTGGACAGCCTTCCCGGAGGAGTTGAATCTGTTATAGCTGCAAATGATGGGCGGGGCAACTCAATATTGAACCCTACAGGCTAAGACTGGGATGCCATTAAAGTTCATGTGTGTGTAAAGGCAGGCTTCACAATACTTTTGACAATCTAGTGTGGTTTTAAAAAGTTGTGTCCGATTTCTGAGCAGTAGCTTCAGGTTCAGGTGCGGATTACAGGCTATTGACTTCTATGGGAACTGTTCCTAGACCGCATATGTGTGAACAGGATAAGATCCTGAACTAATTCTGTCCTGAACCTGATGTAAACCTGACGTGAGCCTGTGAACAGCTGCTGTATCAATTGGCTGTGAAACCTGAGCTTCAATCCACACCGAATATATGTGAATCAGGTCCTAATGTATTCTCTTTACCAAAGTATCGCATTTGCATGAGGACTGTTGTTAAACATGTAAACTTAATGCCAATTTTTTTTGTTTGTGTAGGGAAAATGAAGACTCAAAAGAAGAGAAATCCTCGCTTAAAGAGAAATCTGGAAATAGAAAGGGAAGCAGATTCCATCCTTATGGAAAAGATAAGGGTTCTGGGGAGAAAAAGGGTCAGAGCCGGAATAGGGTGTTCATCAGCAATATTCCATATGATATGAAATGGCAAGCCATTAAAGACCTTATGAGGGAGAAAGGTAAGTTTTGGCTGCAGTCTATAATGCACCCATATAAATCAGCAATTCTTTTTTTTTTTTTTTTTTTTCTTTTTTTTTTTTTTTTTTTCCAAGCTTTTGAAATTTCCCACTTTAATACAGGTATCTGGTTTTCACAGGTAAAGTTTTTTTAATTTAGTACTTAGGGATTATTATACCTGTTTACCAGGGAAGTGTTTGCATGCTGTTAAGTGCAGCTGTAATGTGGTGTTTACAGGCCAATAGTATAATTGGAGATGTATTTACTGATCTATAGAAAATCTTGGAGATGTATGGATACATAACTGCTGTTTCATCAAAGCAGTAGGTGCTTGTCTTGCACAACAGTCAACTATTGCAGATAGAGATCGTAATTTTGGAGACCTTGTGTTCAATGGCAAAGACTGTCTTGCAGTTTTTGTTTAGTGCCTGTTCTTGTGAAATTGACTTAATATCCAATATTACAAAATTGGACTGGAGACTTAAAAGGTTTTCACTGGAAATCACCAAAGTCTAAAACGTTCCACTTGGTTTCATGGTAGTGTGTTTTTAAAATTGTAAAATTGTAATAGTCCTTGGTGTCTCTGTTGTAAGGTGAATGACTATTTGGTTTTATTCACTGTATTTCTTTGATTGTAGCCTACTGTGAAACACATTGACTTGTCAATTTGGATCTTAAGACAATTTTACTAATTGAAGACATTCAGGTAGAAAGTCACCTTAAAACAGCCGTTGTGAGTTGGATGGCCAATCTTTATTTTATTGACATGTTTTAACTATTCTAACTAGTTGATTAAGGAACTAGTTCCATATCTGAATGTGTTCAACTATATCCTATTCAAATACTATATCTGGTATTTAAGGAGTAAAATGGTATCTAGTCTATTGCTCTTGACAATGTGGCTGCTTCACAGTCCTGAAATTGAGCAAAAGGAGGTAGCCATTGATAGGTGCTATGTTGGTTCTGTGTTTGATTGTTGGTGAATTATAGGTCATTTGTTTTGTAGAGCTGTGCACAGGGCACAGTAAAGAAAGTTACTGGTGTTAAATGCTTTGTCTCTTGGTATTTTCCCTTTGTATGTCTTATGTAGTTGGTGAGGTTACATACGTGGAGCTCTTTAAGGATGCTGAAGGAAAATCAAGGGTAAGTGCCGTGGGCAACCATCTGCTTGAGGTGTAAAGTGCCTCAGTAGTCTTCTGTATCACTGTCAAGTATTTTGGAAAGTAAGTTTCATTTTCTTACATTGTATTGTAGTCTGAATGTACCAAGGCTCACAGTATGCTACTTTTCATCCAAATTACATGAGGTTGAAAGTGATGACTAACTGCATTTCTAAACATTTGCTTGCTCACTTCTTGTAAGTTTGCTGCTAAAAGCTCAATGCAGATGTCAGTCAGGTTCGGCATACAATTCACTGGCACATCTGACAGTATTCCTGGGATTGTACTGAATTTGTCTCGAATATTTTTTTGAATGACCTGTTGTGGCGTGCAGGGCTGCTCCACTGTCAGTGCTGTGACCGGTATGAGTCATTGAGCTAGACTCTTAATTAGAAACCGAATTATCTGGTTAAGGATTATAAATATTTTTTCTTCCTGATGAAACAATTGAGTCATTGAGCATGGTGACAGAAGTCTAATTTGCGGTTTATCGGTTTTTTTTGGAGATTTAATATTGAAAAAAAAAACTTTTTTGGTGACTAAGTTGTCCTTCCATTGTATGATGGCTTTGTTTAAGACAATCAATATGTCCAGTCTTGGGTGTCTTTTATAAATGTGGTCATACAGCTTTCACTCAGGATTCTCTTTTCTAATAAAAAAAAAAAAAAAAAAAAGTGTGAATCCTGGTTGAAAGTTTTGTGAAAACATTTAAATAGACCCCGTAGTGATCTCTGATCCAAATGATTGCAGTTTTCCAAAAACAAAAACATGAAGTTGTAATTTTGCACTGTTTTAGGAATTGTAGTTTGGTATTCAAGCTAACTTCTCCTATTTTCTATTTTTATTTTGTTTTGGATTCTTTTCATGGGGTCGTGCGGATTTAGGGTTGTGGGTAAGTGTCTCCTGATGCATTCTTTTGTATGCATATGTAATTGTCACATTCAGGATCTTCATCAAACCCTTTTTATTGCAGTGTGGTGGAGTTTAAAGATATGGAATTTGTACAGAAGGCATTGGATGTAATGAATAAGCATGATCTAAATGGAAGACCCCTTAACATCAAGGCGGTAAGCATCCATTCCTGCTGGGTCATTTAGCCTTAAAGGATAAGTTCACCTCTTGACCATAAATAATAAATGCCCCTTTTTTTTTTCTCCCAGGGAAAAAATATGTATTTTTGGTTGCACAAGCCTGTAAAGCATTGCACCAGGCAGGACTCCTGCAGACCAGTCAGTATATTGGCTTGTCCATACGAGATGTACGGGCAAGAAATTATACTGACAAGAAGATTCAATGAACTACCATATGACGGTACTTCGTTGAGAACTACAAGTTGATGTCGGTAATTGTAGTTAATTTGTTCACAGAACACTGAGTGATGCAGCTTTTGTGGGCTGAGCCCCACATGGCCGTGTTTTTAGAAAAGTAACAGCTTGTACGGGGGAACTTCTCCCCTTCTGTCACCGGGAGGAGGGGCAGCTGCTGCAGCATTAGGGGCATATTACCATGTTTCACCCTTAAAAACTGGAACATGTAACATTCCCAAAGATGAACTTGAACTTCTCCTTTTTAAACCAGTTGTATATTGCTATACATTTTGCACTTCCTACTTTTTATTATATATATATATATATATTTTCTGGATTAGTTCCGAGCTGTTGGGGTTGCTAAAATGTTTTCTACTGCTATCGGTATATGGGTAACGTAAAGTGGAACTAACTGAGCATCACAAACCAAAAACTGTATTTAATTTGTTTTTTATTATTCAAAGCAAACTCCCTAAACCATCTGTCTCCGTGCTTCATTTTTTTCTGAGAAATCACTTTGAAAAAACAACCCCTGGAATTTCTGGCCATGGCCATTTTGAGTAAGGGCAGATGATTCTTCCTGAAATCCATCTGCCCTTGGGCTAGGCATGCAGACAGGAGGGTGTGCTTGGCTGAGAACTCCTGCTTCCCTGCTGAAGACTCCTGGGATGTATGACATCATTTGCTTAGGCCAGGAAGTAGCTGAAGAAATGTAAAATCAAAAAGTTTAGAACAATTAAATGATATAATTTATTTACTAATGCTAGCAGCATAAGGAAAAAAATGGTCAATGTTGATTGAGAGAGTGAAGTTCTGCTTTAATATGGGGGGTGGAGAAACACGTGCCATTTTAATATCATGATTGTGTATGCGCCCTCATATATGTTTTTTGTTTTTTCCTCCCCCCTTGAATCTGTATTTATTTTAATGTGTCAGTACATGTTTGTTTATGTAGGACCCAGATGGAGAGCATGCACGAAGGGTTCTGCAGCGTAGTGGGGGCCAGTTCCCTGGTGGCCATAACAGTGATATGGGCCCTGCAATTGTCAACCTCCCACCTTCAATTCTCAATAACCCCAACATCCCACCAGAGATCATCACTGCTTTAAGAGCTGGGCGACTTGGAACAACAGTCTTTGTTGCTAATGTAAGTTTTTTTTTTTAACTTTTTTAATTTATTTTTTGGGGTAAACTGTGGGTGTGCTATTTTGTTCAACATTTTTCCTACACTTGGGGCTTTCTTCATTCACCGCTTTCTCTGAGGGAGTAGTATCCTGTAGCAGTATCTTTTTTTCCTTTTGTTCCATTCATTGGTCTAATATATGAAGAGGAATAAGAGGAATCGAGTATTCATACTAATAGGTAAAGATGAATATGTGCAGTAATGTAAATGGTTGGGTGGGTGCATTAATTAAGGATAATGATTGCTCCATATGATGGAAGAAAATTTTTCTTGACTTTGTTTTATTGGTAATCTGTAGCTTGGATTTTTATACTGAATACATTTTTTTCCTCAGCTGGACTTTAAAGTTGGATGGAAGAAACTGAAAGAAGTGTTTAGCATTGCTGGAAATGTGAAGAGAGCAGACATTAAGGAAGATAAAGATGGAAAAAGTCGTGGAATGGGAACGGTTACCTTTGATCAATCTATCGAGGCAGTTCAAGCAATCTGTATCCTTTTTTTTTTTTTTTTTTTTTTTTTTTCTGTTTGAGACATAGGATGGTTTTTAGGAAACGGAGCTACAGTTGTGCGTGTGATATATATGTCTACACACCCCTGTTAAAATATCAGGTTTCTGTGATGTAAAAAAAAGAAGAGACAAAGGTAAATCCTTTCAGAACTTTTTCCTCCTTTAATGTAACCTATAAACTGTACAACTCAGTTGAACAACAAATTGAAATCTTTTAGGTGGAGGGAAGTAAAAATTAAAAAAAAAAACTAAACTAATACGGTTGCATAAGTGTGCACACCCTAAACTAATACTTTGTTGAATCACCTTTTGATTTTGTTCCAGCACTCAGTCTTTTTGGGTATGAGTCTATCAGCCTGCAAATCTTGCCTTGGCAACATTTGCCCACTCTTTCTTGCAAAAACACTCCAAATCTGTCAGATTGCGAGGGTATCTCTCTTTAGATAACCCCACAGATTTTTGGTTGGATTCAGGTGTGGGCTTTAGCTGGGCCATTCCAAAACTTGAAACTTCCGGTGAAGACAATCCTTTGTTGATTTGGCTGTATGCTTTGGGTGGTTGTCATGCTGAAAGATGACGTTCCTCTTCATGTTCAGCTTTCTAGCAGAAGCCTTAAGGCTTTGAGCCAGTATTGACTGGTATTTGGAACTGTTCATAATTCCCTCTACCTTTTAATGTTGACATGTGTTAGTAAAACCGTACCTGTCATCAAAACTACTTTGTACATCCAGGTGAATTATACCTTGTGTTTTTTTTTTTTTTGTTTTTTTTTTTTTTGTTTTGTTTTCTCTCAGGACAAATTGGGCTTTCGTTTGGTGGTAAATGGTAATGGAATTTCGCCTGATATTTTTTTTTTTTTTTCCCCCTCTATGAATGGAGGAGAGAGATGCATCGTATCTCTCCAACTCCTGGCATAGAGAGGAAAAAAAAGGACGGGCTGTACAGTGACTGATCACTGTAGCCAATCGGAGGCTATCACAGCGATCATGTGACCCAGAATCAGGGGTCCCAGCGTTTAGAATGGGACCTGGAATCCGGGGGTCCCGATTGTTAAAACCGGGCTCTCAGTGACACCGTGGTCTTTGTGCTATGAGAGTGGCGCGCTCCGAGCAGAAAGACCGATACGCAAATATGCGGCCCCACAGAAAAAAAGCCCAGTTCTGTGAGGCCGCATATTTGTGTTACGTCGGTGTCAAGAGGTTAATGTTGCTGTAGGCTTCTCTGCAGCCTCCCAGACCAGTTTTTCTTCTCGTCTTTTCATCAATTTTGGAGGGACATCCAGTTCTTGGTAATGTCACTGTTGCGCCATATTTTCTCCACTGGATGACTGTCTTCACTGTGTTCCATGGTATATCTAATACCTTGGAAATTCTTTTGTACCCTTCTGACTGATGCCTTTTTAAAAAATGAGATCCTTCTGATGCTTTGAAAGCTGTCTGCTGACCATGGCTTTTGCTGTAGGATGTGACTAAGAAAATGTCAGGAAAGACCTACTAGAACAGCTGAACCTCATTTTTTGTGGTTAATCAGAGGCACTTTAAATGATGGCAGGTGTGTACTGACTCCTATTTAACATGATTTTGAATGTGATTGCTTAATTCTGAACACGGGTGTGCACATTTATGCAGCCACATTATTTTAGTTTTTTTTTTTTTTTTTTTGCTTAAAGTGCTTTTGTGCCACTAAGCTAACAAAGCTTAGTACGTAATATTGGTTAATTATAGGTCCTGCAGTGTGCAGTTAAGTACTGTACTTTTTTTTTTTTTTTTTTTATGCTTTTAATTTGTGTCTCACACATGTTTACATGGTAGGTGCATAAAGCTTTATATGGTGTTGTGAAGTAATCGTGCTTTCAAACATGTAAATATTAGGAGCATGGCAAATGTTCAGAAATAAATATAAAAGCAACAGATTTAGCTTGGGAAGGGTTTTTTCTGTCCTTTAGGGAAAACTGCAAGAAATAGTTTGAGTTCTTGCATCTGTCAAGTTTTGAAGTCTGTGTCCCTGTTGAGTAGATCTCTGTAACTTTGCTCAGTGGTCACCAGGAACGTAGCAAGACGTTTGCTTCATTAGGCACACATGGGTAAACCTTTTAATAGGGTAGGAAAGTTTTTAGAAAGTCTCTCACCATCGTGAAGATTTCTTTTTACCGGGACAGCAATTGGACAATTCCCCAACTGTGATAGTAGCAAAACCCCAACCAAGGTTCTAACCCTTTTGCCTTATGCAAATCTTAAAAGATTGGTCTTGAATGAATTTGAAAAGACTAATTTTTTTTTTCGGTAACTGTTCATTTAAAGACTGGAATCAATGCTTCGTTGTCTTGGATAGATTTAAATCTGAACTCTAGGCAGAACTAAATGTAAATTTGGCTTTGTGTAGTTTTTATTAACCATTTAAAGGGAGATGGAGGACCTATAGTGGGAGTCAGTCACTTGTACTGCATCCTAAAAAGTAACAAGCAGATAAGACTAGAGACAGTGAAGTGGGTAGAGAGGTGACCTTACTGGTCTGCTGCTGCTCCCTAGCTGCCTAATGAGCAGTGTAGTGTTGTCAGAGTATTCTTAAATTGTAATCAAAAAGCAGTGTCGTTCTTTGCTGTGACATTGTATGTAAATCTCAGGACTGAATGGATAGAAATGAGAATTCTTTGGCATCTTGTTTCTGATTTTACAACGACCTAGAATGGTACTGATCTAAACAACTCAATGGTTTAGTTATTCCTTAACAGTGATTGCTTACAGCTATGTTTAATGGGCAGTTCTTATTTGATAGACCGATGCATGTGAAAATGGTAAGTAAAGAGTACTTTTGCATAGTAGAGAAGCTCCAGTCACCTGTGTAAAAATTAAGTCAGCAGCTGCAGTTTTTGTAGCTGCTAACTTTTAATAAACAGATACTAGACTGTTTAGGATCCTCATTGTAAATGGTCCCGCAGTCTTCTGGGACCTGCAAAATGTCCTAGAAGACTGGGTTTTAGGAGAACTTAATCTGTCAAAACCAGGTACCCACAAAAAAAGGCCTTAAAGTGGAACTTTCCTTTTTTGGGTGGCGTGTTACTAAACCCACAAGAGTAAAAGCAAGTCTATATGCAGTAAAGCATGCTTGTTGTACTCGCTGTGGTACCTAAAGGGTTAATCCTCTGCATTGTGTAAAAATGCTGTTTTGATCCTAACTTCTCTAATCCTCACCTTCTGCTAGTGTCTCCCTCTTATCTCCTGATAAGACACACAGTGTAGAGACACTCTGCACATGCTCAATTTAGTGTGTATTGCTAGAGGTTTTTTTGTTTCTTGGGAGAGTGCACGTGATCAGCACAGGGCTAATCGGCACTGTCCAGACAGAGGTTAGGGGTTCTGCATCCTCCTAGAGCAGAAAGAAAACTCCTCCTACAAGCTTTAACCACCATTCTGCTGACTGCTCTAACTGCTGATGAGAAAATATATTTAGCGGTTTATATTTACTAAAATAATTGCATTTCAATATAGTGCGTACTGTGGTAGACAAGATATAGCGAATGTAGGGTCCTGGGTTATAGATAAGCAAAAAATATATGAGAAAACTCCTGCGCTAATATCTGAAGAAGCTATGCAGCCAGCACTAAATAGGTGTACCTTAGCACCAGAAAAAGACTAATATAGATATATACGTAGTGCAGCGCTATATGGTAATATCACATATATATATACCTCAAAACAGATATGACACCAATAATACAGATGACCTAATTGTGCGATAGTCCTTATGTGGATCAACACAAGTGTTCAACAAGTGCTCAGCAAGTGCATAAATCCTTTAAAGAGATATGCAACATGCACAATACAAGACAAATAAGTGTCCTTGAATGGAAAAAACACTCTTCATGCAGGTGTGCGACCAATACGTGACAATCCTCAGTATCTGGGGTGTCCCCTCATCTTCCTGGGTTTAGTAACACTTTAAGCTTCCCTAATTTGAAAGACTTTGCATTGCTATTGGCAGTTAAAGCCATTCACATCTGCATGTTCCATAAAATCACGGAAAACAAGTGTCAACAATTAATGGCACCTCAAATGTGGCTAGCAAACACATGAAGCTCCATGCCCAAAATGGTGCAGGAGCTTCTTTTGGCCCACACGTAGGGGCAGCCCATTTAAATGAAAGGGGCTGCCTTTGTGTCACTGGGGGGGGAAAAAAAAAAAGCCTGGTCACATGATGTGCAGGTGTGAATGGGGTCGGTCATCTGCTTACTATACTATACTTGTTTTCTTTGCAGGATGATAAATCTCTCCCCCCAGATGACTTTCATGCCTTGGAAAAACCACCTCAGTTACCTCGTAAGTACAAGGCATAAGTTTTTGTATGTATCATTTTCTTGCTTTTAATATGGTGACCTAATCTGTGGTAAGCCTTCGTCTCTATTTTTGTAAATGCGCAACCAAAGATTTCACTGTGTAGGCTGGTCCTTGCTCCACACGGCATCTTCTGCAGAATCCTGCAATTGCCACATGTGGACTCTGTTCCAAAACCGTACTGCCTGACCTTCTTTTTTTATGTGCCCTAAACTAAAACACAGGTTCCCTTTTAAGCTCGAAAGAGCAGGGCCTCGAAATGTTTTGCATTGTATTGGTAAACTGTCACAGTTCTGTTCCCTTTGTAATGTGCGCTGAGCGAACTATTGTTTAAATACTGTAATAATAATAATAGTGTGTGTGTTTTCAATGTGTACAGCTAAATGTCAGACAAAAATATGATTCAAGACTAACTGTCCAAAGGTGGTGGAATGTTGAATTTGGTTGGGTAACTGGGGATTGAATTCTTCTTTGGCAGTTTAAATCCCTATCTTTGGTTGCTATTTTTTCTTCGTTATTTCACTGTATCACACAAAATCAAAAAGTGGGCAATCTTCCAGTTGTAATCTGGAATCATTATTTTGCACTGTGGAGGATGTGTTCCGTTGGTGACAATCATCTGGCCTGGTAAGGGCTGCAATAGTTGGCTTGAGCTGGCAGATACTTTTGTTGTAATAATGGAAAGATAAAGGGCCCATTTGCACCTGAAGGGCATGCGCCACAGTGCACGTGTTCATGCTTTGACATGCTGTTTTAGGCATCCTGTTTGAAATAATTGGGCTGCAACACAACTTGGCTCATAAGAATTTAGGGCCAGCTGCAGTTTCTGCAGCACCTAGTGTCCTATAACACAAATGTGTTGGCATGACATTCAAAATGGCACCAAACACTCTTAAAGTGGCTGTAAACCCTTGCATATACCCAGTGACGTGACTGGGCTCAGGTGATAGAGATGAAACAAATCCTCCTACGTAAGTTGTACCTGTTTATTTGTAGCCATCTCTTCTCTACATCCATTAAAAGTGATACATGATGAAGCTTGTTTTGAGGTTTCAGAAAAAGGAGGTGGAGAGCGGAAATGTACTCTGCAAAGTTCAGTGAGGAGACCTGTGAGAGCTGCTTGGAGGGAAGGGACATACCCCTCCCCTTCACACAGCTCACAGGAACAGAGATGATGCTGTTAACCTGCTGAAGGTTCCTCCCCTGTCACTATTTTATCTTTTCCTGTCAGGAAACTTAGAAGTGACTTGTGCTTGCAGCAGACAGAAATTACACTTGGTGCTCTTTGAGACAAGTACACACTGTAGAGGGATGTGCTTTGTTCATATTTTCATTTCTGAGGTTTACAACCACTTTAACGGTGAACTGACCTATAGGATGATAGCATGTGATCACTTCTTGCCTGGTAATCATTAATGTAATATATTTAGTACTCATGCAGGTGGCCTATGTATCTTAAGTTTACTGTGTATAAAATCAGTGCCCGCTTGGCTGATATTAAATGTAAAATAACATGCCGGAAGCAGCAGCATTGCTTGCCCAGCATACACTGTAGTCCTTTTTTGGAGTTTCTCAGTTGTGGCTTTCTGATACTAAACATTACACACATCTCAAAATGCTTTGACATGCTAAAATTCAGAGTGAGTGCTTTTTTTTTTTTTTTTTTTTTTTTTTTTTTTTTTTTTTCTTCCATGCAAAAGCTTTTGATGCATTGTTTTTTGCACTTTATTTTTCCTTTTAATCCAGGTGGACTTGGTGGCATTGGAATGGGTCTTGGACCAGGTGGACAACCTCTCAATGCAACACAGATTGGAATGGGTAGTGGAATGGGCAACATGGGTCCATCAGGCAAGTGGGAATGAAACCTTTGTCAGTGCTTAAAGCTCATTATACAATGAAATATAAATAAAAAAATGTTCTTTCTGTCTAAAGGTATGGATGGTCCTGGCTTTGGTGGAATGAGTAGAATGGGAGGTAAATGTTTACAATATTATCATTTCTTTTGAGTGTGTAAATGCATGTCATTGGAACAACACTTTTATATCTGGCTTTATTTTTTATCATACCAGGAAGTGGATTTGGTGGCATGGATGGACTAAGTAGCATGTCAGGGTTTAGTGGAGTGAGCCGAATGACAGGTATGATGTGGTCCATGTATAAAGCTCTAAATAAAAATGTTTTCAGAATTACCTTACTACAGTTGAATTATCAAGAATTTTATTTTAAGTAACATTTTTATAGAGAAAAATATACTGCCTGCTGTTGGTGAGACAATAATAACCTGCAGCCTGACCGTTACTAAACTGTCAACTTCCAGATATTAAACCCTGGGGTTGGGATACTAACAAAACACAGGTTGTTCACTTGGCAAAGCAGATGTTTACTTTTGAAAAATGATGGTAAATAAAGTGAACCTGTGTTCACTTTGGCTTTCCTGATCATGTGCAAGTGAAATGATTAAAGGTTTGCCATGACTCTTTAATGGAAGTAAACACTATCTTATTTGATTTACTCATCTTGGTGACTGTTGTAAAGTGAGCAGTTTATGTTCCTAAAGTAAATCAACCCTGCTTTTTGGGACTGTAGTGGTATGTGATGATGTAAAAACTAAGGGGGGCGTATAAATATTTTGTAAATCCATGTAGTTAAAATATTCATACTGAATTGGAGATTTACTGGGGGAGTGTACACCTGAAGTTTTGAACTAACTTACTTGGAGCCCCCCTGAATTTTATTTATTTTTTCCAATGTTGCTGAATTTTTTTTTTTTGCATAGGAATGGGTGGTGTAGATGACTTCAGAGGCAGTTTAGGCTCTGGCATGAGTGGAGGCATGTCAAGCAGCATGGCGAGCATGGGAAGCATGGCAAGCAGCATGGGAGGTAAGCTGGAAAGACATATTGCTTTCATCTACTTGGCCAAATGACCCATTTTCTGATTGAAACTACTATTCTTTAATTCAGACATGTACAGAGGAGGAATGGGAAGCAGCATGGACAGAGAGTTTGGTCGCAGTGAGCTTGGATTAAGTCGTGGCTTCGGCGATTCCTTTGGAGGAATGAGTAAGTGGTTTAATAGTGTGTTGTTTTTTGGTTGTTTGTATTATTATTGTTTATTTTGATTATATATTATCTACTTGCCCTCCTGAGGATTTACCCCCCTTCATGACCAGGCCATTTTTTGCGTTACGGCGCTGCGTTACTTTTAACTGACAATTGCGCGGGTCATGCAACGCTGCACCCAAATTAAATTTTATGTCCTTTTTTCCCCACAAATTGATCTTTCTTTCGGTGGTATTTGATCGCCTGTGCGTTTATTTTTTGCGCTATAAGCAAAAAAAAGACCGACAATTTTTGAGAAAAAAAAACAATATTTTGGACTTTTTGCTATTAAACATGTCCAGTAAAAAAAATTAAATCAAATTTCATCATAAATTTAGGCCAAATGTATTCTGCGACATGTCTGCTAAAAAAATAAATTACAGTATCTCACAGAAGTGAGCACACCCCTCACATTTTTGTAAATATTTTATTATATCTTTTCATGTGACAACATTGAAGAAATGACACTTTGCTACAATGTAAAAGTAGTGAGTGTACAGCTTGTATAACAGTGTAAATTTGCTGTCCCCTCAAAATAACTCAACACACAGCCATTAATGTCTAAACCACTGGCAACAAAAGTGAGTACACCCCTAAGTGACCAGGTCCAAATTGGGCCCAATTAGTCATTTTGTCTCCCTGGTGTCATGTGACCCTTTAGTGTTACAAGGTCTCAGGTGTGAATGAGGAGCAGGTGTGTTAAATTTGGTGTTATCGCTCTCTTACTGGTCACTGGAAGTTCAACATGGCACCTCATGGCAAAGAACTGAGGATCTGGAAAAAAAGAATTGTTGCTCTACATAAAGATGGCCTAGGCTGTAAGAAGATTGCCAAGACTCTGAAACTGAGCGGCAGCACGGTGGCCAAGACCATACAGCAGTTTAACAGGACAGGTTCCACTCAGAACAGGCCTCACCGTGGTTGACCAAAAAAGTTGAGTGCACGTGCTCAGCATCATATCCAGAGGTTGTCTTTGGGAAATAGACGTATGAGTGCTGCCAGAATTGCTGCAGAGGTTGAAGGGGTCAGCCTGTCAGCGCTCAGACCATACGCCGCACACTGCATCAAATTGGTCTGCATGGCTGTCATGGTGAACTCCCTGCCTAAGCGGGTTAAGGCAGTGCTGGAAAATAATGGTAGCCACACAAAATATTGACAATTTGGACATTTTCACTTGGGGGTGTACTCACTTTCGTTGCCAGCTATTTAGACATTACTGGCTGTGAGTTATTTTGAGAGGACAGCAAATTTACACGGTTATACAAGCTGTACACTAACTACGTCACATTTGTAGCAGAGTGTAATCTCTTCAGTGTTGTCACATGTAAAGGTGAATAAAATGTGAGTGGTGTACTCACTTCTGTGAGATTCACATATATGTGATTTTGCGTAGAGGTACCACCCTGTAGCAGTATATCTGCTATAGGGTGGTCCTTAAGCAGTTAAAAACACACTATATTGCCAAATGTATTGGGTGGCCTGCCTTTACATGCCCATGAACTTTAATGGCATCCCAATCTTACTCTGTAGGGTTCAATATTGAGTTGGCCCGCCCTTTGCAGCTATAACAGCTTCAACTCTTCTGGGAAGGCTGTCCACAAGGTTTAGGAGTGTCTATGGCAATGTTTGACCATTCTTCCAGAAGTGCATTTGTGAGGTCAGGCACTGATGTCAGATGAAAAGGCCTGGCTTGCAGTCAGCTTTATTTTATCCCAACGGTGTTCTATCGGGTTGAGATCAGGACAGTCCTCTTCCTTCAAACCCTAAAAAAAAAAAAAAAAAAAACCCCACACCGTAATCCTGTCCCCTAGACACATGCATTGGATTGCCAGACAAAGAAGCATGATTCGTCATTCCACAGAACACTCAGTGATGTAAGGCTTGGATGCAGCTGCTCGGCCATGGAAACCCATTCCATGAAGCTTTCTGTGCACTGTTGTGCTAATCTGAAGGTCACACAGTTTGGAGGTCTTTAGCTATTGATTGTGCAGACAGTTGGCGACTTTTGTGCACTTCAGCATGCACTGACCCCACTCTGTCATTTTACGTGGCCTACCACTTCATGGCCGAGCTGCTGTTGCTCCCAGTTGTTTCCACTTTGTTATAATACCACTAACAGTTGACTGTGGAATATTTAGTAGCAAGGAAACTTTACTGATGGACTTATTGCACAGGTGGCAACCTATCACGGTACCACGCTTGAGTTCACTGAGCTCCTGAGAGCGACCCATTCTTTCGTGTGTGTGTTATATTTTTTACGCAATTTTTTTTTTTTTTTTTTTCTTTTTTCCCCCCCGTTTGTGCAATAGGTTAAATGGCTGGGTAGCATGAGAAAAAACATTTAATAAACGTTTTATAAATGGTTAATCTTGAGGACCGTAGGTACTTGGAGTAGGTTAAATCCTGTATTAATATAGTGGTATAGGTATTAACCACTTGCCCGCCAGAGGATTTACCCCCCCTTCCTGACCAGGCCATTTTTTTTGCAATTAGGCAATGTTTCTTTAACTGACAATTGCGTGGTCATGCAATGTTGTACATAAATGAAATTTGTTATTTCTCCCACAAACAGAGCTTTCTTTTGGTGGTATTTGATCACTTCTGCGGTTTTTATTTTTTGCGCTATAAACAAAAAAAGACCAAGTTTGAGAAAAAAAAAAAAAAAATATTTTGACTTTTTGCTATAAAACATATCAAATAAAAAAAAATTTAAATAAATTTAGGCCTAATTGTATTCTGCTACATTTTGTTAGTCTTTTGCTTAAAAAAAAATCCCAGTAAGTGTATATTGGTTTACATGAAAGTTATAGCGTCTACAAATGGCAGTATATATACTGGAATTTTTATTTTTGTTACACACTAGTAATGGTGGCAATCAGCGACTTATTGCGTGACTGCGGCAGGCATTCTGACACTATGTGGGAAATAACGGCCACTGAAATCCCCAGTGACATGGAATACAATGATCAGAGCTAATAAAAAGCTCTGACACTGTACTAATGACACTGGGCAGGAAGGGGTTAACATCTGTGAATATCAAAGGGTTAACTGTGTACGCTGTGTGTTTTCACATTTTGTGCTGTGTTGTGTTTTTTTTACTTAGGAAGACATTTTTTTATTTCTCTACTGTGCAGAGATACAAAGCAGCATGCCCATGCTGACAGAGATCTGCTTACATACAGATCTCTCCTTTCACAGCCCTACCAGAGTCCCGTCCGGGACACCCTGTGCAGCCAATAGCAGCACGGGTAGGGTGCACGCATGCGCTCCCCTTACCCTAAAATGCAAATAAAGTGTGTGTGTGTGTGTGTGTGTGTGTGTGTGTGTATATATACGTGATTTTGCGCCACCCTGTAGCAGTACTTCTGATGTAGGGCGGAGGGCAACTGATTAAATCCAAAACCAAAAATGTAATGTATTGCAGCCTACAAATATCAGATATGGTGGCTGCATTACACTTTTTTTTTTTCTTTTTTTCCTCCCACATGGCGATCTGGCCAGTAACACACCTCCTGTATTAACCACTTCATGTCCGGACACTTACCCCCTTCCTGCCCAGGCCAATTTTCAGCTTTCAGTGCTATCACACTTTGACAATTGCGCGGTCATGCAACACAGTACCCATATGAATTTTTTAGCATTTTTTTGGGACAGATAAAGCTTTATTTTGGTGGTATTTATTTACCACTGGGATTTTTATTTTTTTTTGCTTTTATAAATGAAAGTCAAAAATTTTGAAAAGTTTTTCTTATAAAATTTTGCATCTTTCTTCATAACTCTGGGCCAAATGTATTCAGTTATATTTTTAGTAAAAAAAAAAAAACCCAAATTAGTTTATAACCAAAAATTATAATTAAAAAAAGTTTACATTTTTATTTATTTTTTTACATACTGTCGCCCTAGCAGTTCAGTGTCACCATGGTGGCACTGTACTACTTGGGGGGGATGAAGATTTTTATTTTTTTTTACACTGATTGCTTTCACACCCATAAAGGCTGTAAAAGCAATCATTTCTCCTTCTCTCTGGCTGCATTCTTGCAGGCATTGAGAAATACTGTGTGAGCTGTGATTGGTCACAGCTTGTCACATGGTACAAGGCTGTTGTGAATAGCCTTGTACCATGTGACCTCTGTGATCATTCACAGATTTCACACATAGTAAGCAATGTCAGAAGTGACATCTTGCTTACTACTCTTCATGTGATCACTGATTGGCCAATCAGTGATCACATGATCGGGACCTCGCAGAGGTCCCGTACAATGATCGGTGTTCCACTGTGTCTGGAGGACACAGCAGGCACCAGATTGTGGTGTTGCGCACTCCCAGGGAGCACGCACAAGCAGGGGGCGGGGAGGCAGTTTATAAACGGCGACCAAACCCTCCACTGCCACCGTCCAGCCGGTTTATATACAACGGCCTGACGGGAAGTGGTTAAGAATGCCCCCACTCTGGATGAAAAAGCACTGGGGGGAGGCATAACCTTTTGGACAGCAGCATTGTCAGCCTGGGGGGAAGGGAGTGTTAGATGGACTAGCAGATTTAGAAACGCTAACAAATTGAAGCCAGTCTCTAGTTAACACTTTACAAGCAATTACAGCAACTTTTATCCCAAAATAAAAAATTCACATAAAAGCTGATCATTGTGAGCAGCCCTGTCATTGGTAAATGGTTTCTCATCCCTCCAACTGCTACATCTGCAAGAGAACTTTCTTTTGAAAAAACAGACTTGCTGGTCTGATCACTATTGGTAAGCTGGAATATATTTGCTTTTTGGTTTTATATCACTTAAGTTCAGCAGTAGATTGTTTAGAAGTAAATGACTAGCTATCTGTTATGGCTTCAATGCTTTTTAAATCCCTCTTCTTTTTAACTCCATAGGCAGTGCCATGGTTGGAAGTTTTGGCGGAATGGGGTCTTCTTCTCTTGGTCCTTTAGGATCTGGAATGAGTAAGTATGGTAACTTTTTTTTTTTTTTTTTTTTGTTTAAAAGTGGTCCATTGGATGGATGTTTTCTAATGTGGATGTTTTTCTCCTAGGCACTGGAATGAGCGCTGTAAATAGCATGAGTATGGGCCTTGGCATGGAAAGAATGAGCTCCAGCTTTGACCGTATTGGTGGAGGCTTGGACAGAGCCATGGATATGGATAGAGGCTTTGGAGGGTTTGGTTCCACCCAGTTGGGAAGCGGTTTAAGAGAACGTGGAAATAAAGGATGCCAAATATTTGTTAGAAATGTAAGAATCATGCCTTAGAAATAATTTTAGAGGAATGCAGCACAAGTCTTAATTCTGATCCTCCCTTTTTTTTCTTTTTTTTTTTCTTCACTATAGCTTCCATTTGACTTAACATGGCAGAAATTGAAAGAAAAATTTAATCAGTGTGGTAAGTGTTCTTTTAGTTTTTGTGGGTTCATAAGTGTGTCAGGTTTGTGAAGTTAGGGCATGGGTCAGAGCCAGGCTGCGTCTATAAAACACACACAGCTTGCGAGCCTGCATGTCTACCCCATAGCAAGCATCTTGCTATTGGAGCAGCAGAGATTGCTGACGAGGGACCCAGAAGATGATGTTCAGGGAGCACTCTGTGCAATACCATTGCACAGAGCAGGTGAGTATGACGTTTGATTTAATACAGAAAATTTGCACTTAGAAATGCTTTAACTTGCATTATGCAACCCTCACATATGGTGTACCGATTGAGCTGAGGCTTGTATAACAAAAACTAATAGCCATTGTGGTTTTACTTCTGTTACAGGTCGAGTAATGTTTGCTGAGATTAAAATGGAGAATGGAAAATCTAAAGGCTGTGGAACTGTGAGATTTGATTCCCCAGAGACAGCAGAGAAGGCATGCAGATTAATGAATGGCATAAAAATCAATGGCAGAGAAATTGACGTCCGCTTAGATCGCAATGCGTAATTCCTTATTTTTAGTTACATTCCCACATTTGATCATTCTTTGGTAAAATAGTAACAGTGAAACATTAGAACTGTAAAGGCTAACTTTTTAGTTTTAAGCCTTTTGATAGTGTGGTGTTTAATGTATATTTTTTTTTTTTTTTTTTTTTCGTTTTGTAAATCAATCTTGGTTTTTAAACACCATGTCTAGTCATTCAGTTTAAATGAATTGACATACTGTTTTTAATAAAGCCTGTTTCTCACAGCTAGTTTGACAGCCTGTGTTGGAGTTTTAATGCTGTATTTTATCCTGAAATATTGTATTACTTGAATGACACAGATGAAATGCCTAGAAATCACAATAAACTGGTCTTAAATGGCTCAGTGAAAATGGTAAATGCTGGTTTGTTTGAAAAATGTGACACAACTATAATTCTGAAACTGGGAAGTTAAGTTTTTAATTATAAAATTTGGAATGATTTATTTTCTACATGTTTGGTTAGCAGCAAGAGTTGTATCTGTTTTTACAGTAACAGAAGGTAGTAATTGCTTTTCCTATTATACTAAAATCTCAATTCCAAAAAAGTTGGGACAGGGCCATTTTTACTATGGTGTAGTATACTCTCTTCTTTTAACCACATTCTATAAACATCTGGGAACTGAGGAGACCGGTTTTGGGAGAGGAATTTTTGTTCCTCTTGCTTGAGCATATACTTTTCTAAAATCAAATATATCTTTCAACATCCATGGTGCCTTTCCTGCTGTGCAAGCTCCCCATACCATTAGACACAGGCTTTTGAACAGAGTGCTGATAACACGCCGGAAGGTCGAAATCTTCACAATGAAGGGGCGCCCTCGCGCAAGCGGGTTCGCTAAACTTCTACGTTTATTTCATTGTTGCAGATGTTTATTTTAAACTCCTAATTATAATTAAACAGCTACACCCATTTGCCCTGTAGGGTCTTCCATGTGTCCTTGATTAGCATCACCATTTGCAATCTGTCTCTAGAGAACAACCCATGTTATCACCTCGGTGTGCCTATGTTAACCAATGTAGATCACAATGATTGGTAACCACGTAGTTAAATGTTTATTGAAAAAACATAGGTAATTGGACTGCCTATTTTTAACACTGCCTTGTTAACCACTTAAAGTCTGCCCTAGAGCGGTTTTACTGCTACAGGGCAGCCTTCCTGTGCAAAATCACGTGTATATATACACTTTCGCCATAGGAGGGGTGCGGGCCCCCGCGGATTGCTTCTTCTGTTAACACTCAAAGCAGAAGTCGATTTCCAAGTGACAGTGAACAGATGGTTGTCAACACCTGCTGGTCGTTGAGCAGAACACAGAACAGAGCTCTGCCTGACAGGGTAGTCAAGAATTGTGTTTCCCTGCAAAGCTGGGAACACGATCCTTCACTTTCACTAATAAAAGCACAACGTAGTGTACACCAAACACATAGCTAGGCAGATAGTGTGGGTGTTTTTTTTTTTTTTTTTTTTTTAATAATTATTGATTTTGTTGAAATAACACAATACAGACAAAAGGCACAACAGGTCTAAATACAGAACTTACCAAAAGTTCAAAACAACCCTGGGGGGAGGGGAGAGACATTACAGGACATGCAAGGCCTAACCAAACACAGGTGGAGAACCATACCATAACAAACAGGAGGGAACCCAGGTCAAGTCAGAAAACAAAGCACATGAATAACTTCTCGCCACTTAATTTCCCAATATCCACTGTGGGGGAGGTTGCATCAAGCCAGCAAGACTAAAATTTGCAGGGGCATCCTCTGTTAGAATAGGTAGATTGATAAAGGGGAAAATTTAGAGTTTAATAGTTTCCAGTAGGTTACGGCAGAGGACGATGGTTGTTTCCAACTTAAAGCAATTGTTTTGCGAGCATAAAATAACAGGGTATTTAATAGGGTGCGCTTGGCCACAGCGGGAGCCAGAGTTTCCACCAACCCCAGCAAACAATAATTTGGGTCAAGGGGAACCGTGATGTGTGCTACTTCTTCAGTTGTATATAGAACTACCTGCCAAAAGGACACAATAGCAGGAGACGTCCAAAAATATGAAAAAACTCTCCCTCGTGGTGCGAACAGTGCCAGCACGCGGGAGAGAGAAAAGGGATTCATTCTGTGCAACCGATGCGGGGTGAAGTAAGGCCTGTGTAGGATTTTAAATTGAATCAATTTTATCTCTGGCAGAAACTAGGGGAGAGAAGGGATCATTCCAAATCTTGGACCAGTTATGATCATCCAGGCTAGGGATATTCGTCCATTTCAGACATAAGGATGCCAATTCGGGACTGGCCTGAGAGCTTTCTGACCAAAAACGATCAGATTATTGTACGATCCCTCTGAAAGTGATTTTTTGTCATGCGATTTTTCTGATCGTGTGTACAGGGCATAAGTATAACAGCCTCTATCCCAATTTTTTAAGCAGTTTAAGGACCTCAGGGAGGTGTTGATTGGACTGCAAATAGGTATAGCTGTGAAAATTCAAAATATGTTCTGCATATAAAGGGTTTCACCAGTTTCCTGATTCAGTATGCTCTGAATATATGGAAGTAGGTTGTAACCTACGTTGTGATTTCTAGCAAGTGTAGAGGGTTCGAGACTTCAGGAACATAATATGCACAGTCTAGAGAAAAGAGCGGATAATGGAGACACGATTGAAACCTTTAAATACATCAAGAGGGTTAATAAGGTTTAAGAGGGCAGTATTTTGAATAAGAAGCCAAGATCAAGACAACAGAGACATGACCTCAAAATAGCAGGAGGAAAGTTCAACACTAGAAAGTAGTAGTATTACCAAGCGTAGTCAATCCTTGGAATAGACATCCAGCAGAGGTAGTGATTCAGTCAACAGTGGATTTAAGCATGCTTGGGACAAACTTAGATCTATGTTCAGGAAAAAAAAAAAGTTAAAATAAATCATATATATTTATATACACACACACGCACTATATTGCCAAAAGAATTGGCAGGTCTGCCACTGGTGACCTGTGCTTTTCACAGATGACAGCAGGTTCACTCTGAGCATGTGACAGACATGAGAGGGTCTGGAGAAGCCGTGGAGGACATTATGCTGCCTGTAACATCGTTCAGTATGACTGTTTTTTGATGGTGGGTCAGTGATGGTCTGGGGAGGCATATCCATGGAGGGATGCACAGACCTCTACAGGCTAGACAATGGCACCCTGACTACCATTAGGTATTGGGATGAAATCCTTGGACCCATTGTCAGACCCTCACTGATGCAGTGGGTCCTGGGTTCCTCCTGGTGCACAACAATGTCCACTCTCGTGGCGAGAGTATGCAGGCAGTTCCTGGAGGATGAAGGAATTGATACCATTGAATGGCCCCCACGCTCGCCTGACCTAAATCCAATAGAACACCTCTGGGATATCATGTTTTGGTCCATCTGATGCTGCCAGATTGCACCTCAGATTGTCCAGGAGCTCAGTAATGCCCTGGTCCAGATTTGGGAGGAAATACCCCAGGACACCATCTGTTTCATTAGGAGCATGCCCCAATGTAGTCTGGCATGTATACAAGCACATGGGGGCCATACAAACTACTGAGTACCATTTTGAGTTGCTGTAATGAAATGTCAGCAAAATGGACTAGCCTGCTGCATTATTTTTTCACTTTGATTTTCGGGGTGTCTTTGAATTCAGTCGTCTGTAGGTTTATCATTTCCATCAAACTATGGGGCATCCTTACGTTCCTAACACATTACCCAGTACATATCGGTATAGATATCCAGCAGGAGATTTTTACCCATTAAGATCTGATGTGTTTTCAAAGTGTACCTTTTATTTTTTTTTTTTTTTTGAGCAGTGTATATATACACTGTATTGCCAAAAGTATTGGGACGCCTGCCTTTACACACACATGAACTTTAATGGCGTCTTAGTCTGTCTTAGTCTGTAGGGTTTCAATAATGGGTTGGCTCACCCTTTGCAGCTATAACATCATTAACTCTTCTGGGAAGGCTGTCCACATGGTTTATGAGTGTTTATGGGAATGTTTGACCATTCCTGTAGCACATTTGTGAGGTCAGGCACTGATGTTGGATGAGTAGGGCTGGCTCGCAGTCTTTGCTCTAATTCATCCCGAAGGTGTTCTATCGGGTTGAGGTCAGGACTCTGTGCAGGCCAGTCAGGTTCTTCCACCCCAAACTCATTCATCCATATCTTTATGGACCTTCCTTTCTGCACTTGTGTGCAGTCATGTTGAAACATGAAGGAGCCATCCCCAAACAGTTCCCACAAAGTTGGGAGCATGAAATTGTTTAAAATGTCTTGATATGCTGACACCTTAAGAGTTCCCTTCACTGGAACTAAGGGACAAAACCCAACCCCTGAAAAACAACCCCACACCATAATCCCCCCTCCACCAAACATTACACTTGGCACAATGCAGTCAGGCAAGTACCGTTCTGGCAATCTCCATATCCAGACAAGTCCATCAGATTGCCAGACAGAGAAGCGTGATTCATCACTTCAGAGAACACATCTCCACTGCTCTAGAGTCTAGTGGCACCATGCTTTACACCACTGCATCTGACGCTTTGCCTTGCACTTGGTGATGTAGGGCTTGGATGCAGCTGCTCAGCCATGGAAACCCATTCCATGAAGCTCTTTTTGCACTGTTGTGCTAATTTGAAGGCCACAAAGTTTGGAGGTCTTTAGTTTTGACTCTGCACAGTTGGTGACTTCTGTGCGCTTCAGCATGCACGGACCCCACTCTGTCCTATGTGGCCGAGTTACTGCTGTGCCCAGTTGCTTCCACGTTGTTAAAAGTCCAATAAACAGTTGACCGTGGAATATTTAGTAGCAAGGAAATTTCACGGATGGGCTTATTGTACAGGTGGCAACCTATAACAGTACTACACTTGAATTCACTGAGTTCCTGAGAGCGATCCATTCTTTCACAAATGTTTGTAGAAGCAGTCTGCATACTTTGAAAATACATCAGATCTCAATGGGGAAAAATATGCCGGATAT